TATGAAGAAATTTTGAAGCATTGTGTGATATGTCATCCTAGCAGGATGATTCTAGAATAATAGATCTGCATGTCAATTGCTTTTGCATGTATGAGGGAGATAGGCAGTGAAAATGAAATGAAAAAAACACATCAATGTCATGCAACACTTCCCATCCTTACACTTGTGATGTTACGTTGTTATTGTCAAGGTGTCTTTGATGGGGATATTTATAGGGCTCAGCAAATGCTGCAAATGAAGACTTGTTTTAAGAAAAATCTTTTAAAGTACTGCCCACACTATCTTGCCAGAGAGTCCTTGTTAGACCAGTGTGACAATGTTGACTTTATATTTAAGAAGCCACTCTATGAGGAACATGTGTTGAAAGATGGAAAGTTTGGAGGGTGATGGAGAGTTTTGGGGCATCACAGGCAGAATGACTGTGAGTTTACTCATCACTTTTTATATTGAGGCATCTTCTTTATGTGTAGCCCAACAGACAGAGGCTCCTGCGTAGAGAACATGGCAATTTATAAAAATGGAAAATGGGGCTGGAGAGATGGCTCAGAGGTTAAGATCCCTGACTGTTCTTCCAGAGTTTTTGAGTTCAATTCCCAGCAACCACATGGTAGCTCACAACCATCCGTTATGAGATCTGGTGCCCTCTTCTGGTGTGCAGATATATATGGAAGCAGAATGTTGTATACATAATAAATAAATAAAATCTTTAATAAAAGTGGAAAATGGCTCATGAGTGGGAGGGAAAGAAAAAGTGTTCAGAAATGAGGACCCATGCCAGGCAGATAGGACAGCACATTCCCTCAAGTTATAGATACAGAAAAAAGTTGTGTCAATCAGCAAATGTCCACAGTAAGTAAAGGGGTGTGAAGTCATTTGCTGAGGAAGGATCTCCTCACAACACTCACACTGTCCTCTGCACCAAAAACACTTTTTCTCCCTGGATATTCTCTCAAAACTGTTCTTCAATGCAACAAATCTATTTTCTTACAGAAATCTTGGGGTCATCAGGTTTATTTCCCAGATGCCGGAGCCTTGAAAGATGCACTTATTTCTCTTCCAATTATGTCTCAGCTACATGATGGCTCTGTTTCTGGCTGCGCCAACTCCCTAAGACCAGAATCCCAAGGACTTTGAGGACCAGGACAGCCAACCCCATCCTGATGAGATTCTCCACTGTGTAATCCTTGATTTCTGAGGCTGTGGACAAAGAAGTTACAGAGGTTTGGTATGGTCACAATTTCCTCAAGGTACCTATGTCCCCAGGATAACTAAATGTCCATTCAGGACCCTAAAATGCCTGGACAAATTTTGAGTCTCTGTTTCTAGTGCTGCGATTTTTGAATTCTCTTTATTCAACTGTCTTGGGTTTGGGCATGTTCTATGGACTGATAATCTGAACTGATCCTAAGAGCAGAAGAAGGTAAGTAGGTTGTGGGTGTGATTAAGAGATCTGAGTGTTTCTTCTGAATCCCACTTTCTCATTTACTGTAAATACTCATTATTCTCATCTTGCAAACTCACAAATTTTGGGATGAATCTTTCTGCTGGCGAGGTAGGTTCCCTTTGCTATTCTTTTTAAAAATACATTTAATTATTTTTTAATTTACATCCTAGCTGCAGTTTCCCTCTCCTGCCTTTTTCTCCATGTCTGTATTTCATACACACTGTTCCCACCCACAAATCCACACCTTCTCCATTTTTGTTTGGGAAAGAGCAGGTCTCCCATGAGCATCAAAAATCATGGTATATAATGTTTTGGTAAGACTAAGCACCCCCCTCCATGTATTAAGGTTGGGCAAGGCTACCCAGTATGAGAAGTAGGTTCACAAAATCCAGGAAAAATATTGTAGACAGCCCTTTTTACCACTAAGAGTTCTTATTAGATTCTTCAGCACCACAGTGAAACCAGAAAATTCAGAGTAGAATAACTTGACAATATAGGACATTGATCCATGGGTCTCTGCTCTGAGCAGCTGCAGCGGTGTCTGAGTTTGGTGTCTCTGGTCAGCTCTACAGAGGTCGTGCAGATCCAGGTGCTCAGTCTAGGATGATTTCCTCAGTGGGTTATTGCTGAGTGTGTGTTCCCTTGTCACATTTAGACCTCCCATCTCTCCTGATATCTGAGCCTTCTCCTGAACTGTTCTGAGGACCCAGGGACCACTGAGGGGTGGTTGAGGAGAAACTGCCTCATACTTTCTCTGAAATGACAAATGGTTTGTGCTGATCCTGAGAACCTGTGTCTTGTTGCTAAGTTTTCTCTGATTCTTCTCCAACATCAAATCAAGACATTTCTCTATGTCTAATTCAGGCTTCAGTTACAGATAGTCCTCCAAGTCTTTTGTTTCACATATCATGTGGGAAATGCAGGACCAATTTGTGGGGTGGTGACATATATACTGTTCTGTAGTCCTGGCTCTCAAAATAAGCTGTGAAGTCTCTCTCTCTCCCTTTCTCCCTCCCCCCTCTCTCTCTCTCTGCATGAGTGCTGTGTGAGAGAAATAGAGAATCCTGTGGGCTCTCTGCTAACAGTCTCCTGATAGCATGGCTGGCTCTCCCTAAGCATAGATCCCAAGACTGACATATGTGACACTCCCTTACATTTGTCATCTTTACAAAGAATTTTTGTGAAGACAAACCAGGCGATACTTTGAGGAGAGAGTGTGTAAATGTCCCATCTTTTTAAGGGATTAAAGGGTAAGTGATGCAGTCTCTTATGGTCTTATTCCAAAATGTTCTAAGTTCAGATGAGCACACCATGGGCAGGCTGCAGACATTTTTAGCTGACACCTCACAAAAGGAAACTGAACCCACACAGTCTCAATTCCTCTATTTCAGCCTGAAGTGAAATGTTGAAGACTTCATAAACAATAGGTTTGGACTGAGACTACTGGATTTTATTTTGTTTGACATGATTATTGTTATGCTCAGGTTCACATAACAAATTTAGTGTGGTAGGCTTGAGCTATGGATGTGGATCTGTTTTGATAAAATGGAGAGTGTAGCAACGTTTGTACCTATCACAGCAAGGTTACCTCCTCCCCTGGAGACACAGGGGCCATGGATACACTGAAAGCAAGGACCAGGGACAGGATGGTCCTACAAGTGACTGGGAATGACTGGACTACATAAGAGATGGGACCTGTCCTGAATGTGGGTGTCAGTTAGGAGGCCTGGGAAATCTATGGAGCTTCTGGTAGTGGATCAGTATTTATCCCTAGTGTACGAATGGACTTAGGGAGCCCATTCCACAGAGGGACTCTCTCAGCCTAGACACATGGGGGAGGACCTAGGCCCTGCTCCATATGATGTGACAGACTTTGATGATCCAACATGGAAGGCTTCACTCTCCCTGGGTATTGGATGGGGGGTGGCACGGGCAGTTGGTGGAGGGTATGTAAGAATAAGAGGGAGAGGGAACTGGGATTGATATGTACAATAAGGTTGTTTCTAATTTAAATATAATAAAGTTTTAAACAGGATAATAATTCCATATAATCAGTAGATGTCTTTGAAATAATTATGCCTCCACTATAATATTGTAGGGGAGGAAATTGTCTTTGAGGTCCATTAAACAGTCCTGGCCTTGTAAAAAAAAAAGACATGTAGCCTGTGTGAGGCTCCCCAAGGAGTTTTCTGACGGTAAAGTGTTGCCTTGATCTTTTCCTGTTGATCTACATTCATTGGTCCATGTCAGCCTTGCTGCATCTCCTACACAGTCCAGAATGTTGAGGCCTTCTTTTTGGATCTTTCCCAGAAGCAGCATTATTTCTAGGAATGTTATGTCTACAATTATTTTCAGATGGCCTATTCTGTCACAATTAAATCATTTGGAATTCTGATGCCTCCTTATACCTTTGGAAATTTCTTCTACCCAAGCCTCAGTGTTGTAGTCAAAAGACTAACAGTGGCTGTGTGAAGGATCCATTCATGCATTGGTGCTGATCTGACAGTTAAGGGCCCAAGGACCTTTATTACTCTAAATTGGGATTTTCAAAAGTCAGATTTAATGAATACTTGTCTTGTTTCTGGATCAGCTACTGACACATGGAAGGCAATGAGTAGAGGTTGTCATTGGAGATTCTTCCTGCTTAGTAGCCTATATCTGTCTGTGGCCTCTTCAGGATGCTCTTTCAGGCTTCCTGAAACATTCTGGGTTCCATTAGTGTGGTCTGTAGTGAGCATTCCTGGAAATACCTCTGCTGTCTTCCACCATCATGAGGGTGAATAACCATCTGGCTGACCCTGTGCATCATTTAGAACCCAAACTTATTCAATTATTGTTGTAGAAGGAGAAACTTGAAATACTGCTTTAGCTCATAAGTTTCTGGATCACCTACCCTGAGTCTATGGGCTTCACAAGCCTCATGAGCTGTAGGGAAGGAGCAGGAATAAACATCCATAGTCCTGTGCAACACCCTTGTCTATGTCACCTCCATGGTGGACAGACCTACTGCAGACTCAGGATCTGCAGGTCTCCTCTGTTAGTTGTGATGCCATTCAAGGCCAGCACTGAAAGAAATTTACACATGTGGGCCAGGTCTCTCCCTTTATACTCAGTTAAGCAGCAGCCAGCCCAGAATAGGAAGGACTTGTCCAAGTCAGCATCTCCAGAAGCAACTGTATCCAGCCCATAACTAGCTATTTCCCGTCTGGGTAATAAATCTAAGAGGATGATTACATAGCCTTCTAGGGCCTGACTGAATGCAGGTGAGAGGTGTGTTCTCAGGACCTTAGAGGCAGATGGGGAGGTGAGTGTCTGGGATCCCTGCTCTGCACCTCACCCACCTGTCTAACCTCCAGACTGATCAAAAAGTTCTCTCTGGACACCTCTTCTGTAACCCAAACTCTAAGTCCTGGGCTTCTTGAGTCTATCTGTTGAGGTCTCTGTTTACCTCCCACAGTCACAAGCTAAGTGACAGAGAAATGAGGAGTTTGGTGGGCTGAGGCGAGGCAGCCTGGGAATGGACCCTACTCCCTTCACTGATGTGCCTGATACCCACCGGCTGTTGGCAAGGGACTTGAAGGTGGTGGGATGGAGGACACAATGGGTCCTAGGAAACAGAACAAGAGTGGGTGAGGATTAGATGCTTACACAGGGACCTGCCTCTCCTGTCTGTCCTACATCTGCCCTGTAACCTCCCCAAGACCTTCATGCTGTCTACCCAAACCTAGATTACAATAGAGGATGGAGTGGCCATTACTTGAGGGACCCTGCTGTCATCCACTTCTCTGTCAGGGAAAGAGTCTTCTGACTCACCCTTCTTGTTGTCCCTTTAATCCCATCCAAGTCAAGGGTTGTTCTAGGGTTTGGATTGTAAGTCACCCTGAGAGTTCAGGGTCACCTCACCTGAGACAGAGAGCTCCACAGGGCCACTGGCATGTGACAACAGGTAGGGATATGAGCCTCTAGAACTGTAGCACCTGTAGGTGCCTGAGAGGGCAGAGGTCACAGCAGTCATGGAGAATTCTGCCTGGAACTCCCCATCTTGGGACTTGGATTTCATTCGCTGGGGTTGGTGTGCTGCTCCCTCCTTGGACAGAATGAAAGTGTCTGTCGTGTATGTTGACTGACACAGCAGGGTCACATTGTCTCCAGACTCTACTGTGGAGTTTGGCTTCACTGAGAGGGAAGGACTGTCAGGAAGCTGTCCTAAAGAGAGCAGAGATAATGAGAGGCTGCCTTCAATGCTCTGAGCTGAGACTTCACAAGGCTCAGCTCTGAGCACCTGTGGCACTGTCTTATCTCTGCCTTACCCTTCTCTCCTGCTTCCTGTCTCTCCATCTGTTCCTGAATAAGATCCCTCCCCTCATCCCAGCCTTCAGCTCTTAGGTCCCCCATGAGATGGTTTCTCTTTGCTTCTTGCGGTACAGGCTGCTGCCACGCCGGCTGGCTAGGTCGCTCTGTAAGTAAGGCTTTTCCCTAGTAAATAACCTTATATTTCTACTTGGCTCCATCTTGGTAATTTTCCACTTTATCTGGTGTCAGGAGCAGGACCTTGGTCCCATTTGGGACAACCTGACAGTCCCCACCCCTCCCCCATGGCAGACAAGGCCGGGAAAGTGCATCTATTTTAGTGGTTGAGACCGCAAGGCCTTATACTCTCTAAGAAAAGCACAGCTGCTTTAGTGACCCGTCTCCACGGCAACCACCATCTTGCCTGACCCACCGCTGCCTAACACCACGCCGAGTAGCTGAACGCCTTGCCACCTGCTGGTCAAAGACAGTTACTGCATCTGGAGTAGAAATCAGGTAAAATTAAGGCAGACTATCATTTGCTAAAATTGGTAATAGTTTTGCTTAATATGAGAATTCAATGTTTGAGGAGGATGATAATTTGCCAGTTACTGTCCTATATGCTGTAATTGCAGTTATCTTGCTGGTACAAATAATATTACTAGCCAGAGGGCTCAGGAACAGGGACAGAGATAACCTCACCACCTGCTTGCAGGAAATAACAGCTTTACACAATGAGGTTTTGTAGAAAAGATTAGGTCAGACCACAATTGCGCAGCAAGTGGAACAGAAATTGGACAATAAGCTTGGCTCTGTGTCCAATATGCTAATGACAGAGCTGTCTGTTACCCAAGATGAGATGCAGCATATTTATGATAAGATAAACACAGAGAGATCTTCCATGTCTGAGGCCTTAGTCGCTAGATTGTCAGAAGACCGTGATGAGCTAAAGAATATCTGTAGCCAGCTAGAAACTCAGATACGCAATGTTACCCAGAAACTAGATGCAAAGATGCAAAATACCCAGGATAGGGTTGATGAATTGGACAAAGCCATTCAATCAATTATTGAAGCATCCAAGGTAGCAGATCACAAATTTGAGTCTAGATTCGAATGTTTGGAAGATAATTTACAGTACAGGGCTGACAGGATTCATAGGTCCATACAGTCGATTGCTGAGGACTCAAAATCAGCAAATCATAACCTCAAATCTAGACTCCAATACCTCAAAGGCAGTTTCCATACAATCCAGATGCTGCCTACGGACGACCGTATTAAAGACCTAGAAAAACGTGAGCAGGAGCAGTTAGAGCAATTTACAGATTCACTAACATGCTTGGAATCTTTTATGATTAAGGAGATTGAAACTTTTCATAAGGATATCATTGCTAGGCTAAAAGATCATTGGGATGCCTCAGAGGCAGAATCACTCCAATCTGAGCACATACTCGACCCAGGTATCGTGACTATTCCTCTCAGGTTGTTATTCGTACACCATTAGGGTACTCAGCAACCATGGTAGAAAAGCCAGCTTCTAAGAAACACCCTCATGGGTGGATGGCTTATGAATGGCAGCCTATGCATCTGAAGGATCTTAAGAATATTAAAGAATCAGTTGTCCCATATGGTCTCCATAGCCCATACGAAAACAGCTATTACATCCATGGGCAACCTTTAACAGGGTGGCACCCACAGATTGGGAGTGATTGGTAGCAGCTGTATTTGTGAATTTATTGCAAATCCAGAGGAAGGCATTGGTGAGGGAAGAGCCGAAGCTCCTTGAGCATCAGGGCATAAAGGAATGTTTTGAAGCCCCTAGGTTCTGGATAGCACACATATGATACAATTCCTTTTCCTCAGTGGAAATGGCCTGTGGAAGGCGGCTGCAGGGGGGGGAGGCGGGGGGGGGGGACTCAAGAAGGCCCCCACATCGAGAAAGGTCAGGTCATTCCAAATAGCAGTGGGAGACAATCTCTCACAGGAACAATAGAGAGTTCTTTGCCTATCTGTGAAAGATGATACTACTGTAGATGGTAGTTTGAATAGTGATGACGAATCAAGTGTGAATAGACAAAATGAGAAACGCATATTTTGGCAAGCTT